GTTGGCCTTATATGCATGGGTTTTTGTGCTCTTGATTCTGTTCCACTGGTTATATGTCTGTTTTTATGCTGGTACCATACTGTTTTGATACTCTAGCTTTATAACATAGCTTGATATCAGAAGGTGTGATGCTTCCCACTTTATTCTTCCTTCTCAGAATTGCTTTAGTTATTCAGGGTCTTTGTGGTTCTATATAAATTTTAGGGGTTTTTTTTTCTACTTCTGTAAAAAATGTCATTGGAATCCTGATAAGGATTTCATTGAATCTATAGATGGCTTTGGGTACTATGGTACACTTTCTTGTACCTATTCGCTATTTGTATCTCTTTTTTGGAAAAATGTCTATTTAAATCCTCTGCCCATTTTTAAAGTGGACTGTACTTCCCCCCTCCATTGAATTGTATGAGTCCTTTATGTATTTCAGATATTAACCCTTTAACAGATTTATGATTTGCAAGCATTTTTCTCCCGTAACTTGCTTTCTCATTTTACTGGTTTCCTTTGTTGTTGAGCCTCACCTGTTTAACAAGCAAAAACCTGGGCAGGATCTATGAAACAATGATGTTTGAACATTGGCCATCAGGCAGTGTAGGACAGCGATCCCCCCAACCCCCCAAACTAAAAACAGTCAGGTGAGCTTTTGTTTACCGCGCCCACATATTGCCTGCAGGTTTTCTGGGTCTCCAGGCTGAGCCCAGCTGTCTCCTGGAGCTGAGGAGGCAGAGTGGGGAGTCCACGGAGGCCAAGGTAGCTGGTGTGTGGAACAGAGCACAGAAGAGAGAGCTTTGGAATCTTCAGAGTGATCTCTGTGAGGGTCGGCTGTGGACTGATCAGCACAGGTGTGTGAGGAAACTTGCTGTAGCAGGAAAAGAGCTACCTGAAAGCAGCAAAGTGAACAATTTCCATAACTCACACAACAATGCAAAAAGTGCATGTTCCCTCCAGTCAATGTAGGAAAACCTCATAACTCATGGGGCATGAGGTAAAATATGCTGAAGTCTTTTGCGTCAGGGGTGGGGAAAATTATCCCTAGACTAGAAGCTATTAGGTTCCACCTAATAAAGCTTAACGAGTAAGCCTTAATGGATCAAACTGTTTCTGAGTAAATTAGTTGCATTCTAGAACAAAGCTTAAGAATATTTGCTAAAATACAAAAATATTGTATACAAACAAAAACACAAACCCAACAAAGTAAATTCGCACTATTTGGCATCCAGTAAAAAAAAATTATGGTATGGAAAGAAGCAGAAAAATATGACCCAGAGTGAGAAGAAAGATCAATTGAAAGTGGTCTAGAAAGTATTCAGATAATAAAATTTGTAGGCAGGTATATTAACATGGTTATTATAAGTATTCCATATGCTTAAGAAGTTAGAAGAAAAATCGAACATGAAAGATTTTTGAAAGACCCAGATTGTGGGGCGCCTGGGTGGTGTAGTCAGTTAAACATCTGACTCTTGGTTTTGGCTCAGGTCATGATCTCAGGGCTGTGAGATCGAGCCCTATATCGGGCTCCACATCCAGTGTGGGGTCTGCCTGTGACACTCCCTTTCTTCCACTGCCCCTCCCCTGGTTCATACACACACACTCTCTCTCTCAAAAATAAATCAATCTTAAAAAAAAAAAAAGAAAGACACAGATTCAATTTCTAGAGATGTAAACTAGAATGAAAAATACATCAGATGGGATTAATACCAGCTCAGTTTCTCTAAAAGATAAAATTAATGAACTTGAATACTTATCAGTAGACACCATGTAAAACAAAACACAGTAAGAAAAAAAGACTGGGGAGAAAAGGAACAAAGCATCGGTGAGCTGAGGAAAACTTCAAGTGGGTAACTGGAGTCCTGAAGGAAAGGGAAGGCAGAAAAAATATTTGAGAAAATAATGCCTGAGATTTTTCCAAACTTGATGACAACTATAATTTCACAGCTACAAGAGCTCAACAAACCCTAAGCACAGGAAACATGGGAAAAAACAACAACAACAACAACACTACATTCGGGAGCCTGAGTGCCTCAGTGGGTTAAGCCTCTGCCTTCAGCTCAGGTCATGATCTCAGGATCCTGGGATGAAGCCCCGCTAACTCGCTCGATTGATCTCTGCTCAGTGGGGAGCCTGCTTCTCCCTCTCTCTCTGCCTGCTGCTCTGCCTACTTGTGATATCTCTCTGTGTGTCAGATAAATAAATAAAATCTTAAAAAAAAAACCCCAACAACCAAACAAACAAGCGAAAACTATGTCAACTCACATCATACCCAAATAGCTTTAAAACTGGGACAGAGAGAAAATCTTTAAAGTAGCCACAGGAGTAATGGATATTACATACAGAGAAACAAAGGTAAAGATTATTGCTGATTTCTCATCAGAAACAATACAAGCTAGAGTGACAGTCTTAGAGTTCTGGGGACAAAAATTGTCAACCTAGAATCCCAATTCAGTACTCAGATTAGGCTGTGTTCTTCAGTGATTTCCTGTCTGAAGGTCTAGTTCCCCTGACTTTGACTCTGAGATGGAGAGGATCATACAAGAAATTGACCGGGAAGTATTCTGAAGATCAGCATCAGTAGAGGAGTGAAGAAAGCAGGACTATTGAAGATGCAGCCTCAGTAGAAGTCCCAGCTGACCATAGCAGGAGTTTTGAAAATGGATGTCCCTTCAGAAGTATCCCGAGTTGGGGTGAGGGGGCCAGACCTTTGTCCTCACAGGCTGATGATCATTGGTTGGATATGGATTGTGCCAGAAAGGGTTCATGATGTTGAGTGGGGCAGCATCTTGGCCAGGGGCAATTTCCAGAGAGGGAGTCAGCTCAGAGCACTCAGACTTCAGCACCCAAGGCGGCTAAAGGAATGAGTATCTAAATTCTGGAGGGGGATCTGGATGGCTCGTGACATTTTCCATTACACTTCCAAAAACCAAGTGTAGAAAATCCAGTCTTCTTAGCATGGCTCACAAGGCCCTATGTAATCTTGAGTATGCCTACCCCCAGCTTACCTCATGCCCTCTTCTCAGCTTGGAAGTCTCTCCCACCCTCTGGCCTGGCCCCTCTTGTCTGTTGCAAAACCTCTAATCCTTCAACTTATGGTGGAATTCACCTCCTCTGAGTGGTCTTGCTGACTCAGTGGTCCTTCCTCCCAGCATCATGGTTAGGAGCGTGGACTGTGAAGCCAGAGTTCGAACCCCAGTTCTGCCACTTGCTAGCTGTGTAACCCAGGGCAATTTACTCAACCTTTCTGTACCTCAGTTTCCTCCTCTATAAAATGGGTGTAACATTAGTACTGCTGCACTCTAAGGTTGTTATGAGGATTAAACGAGTCAATAGGTGTAGAGTTAGAACAGTGTCTGGCAAGAATAAATGGTTGGCATTTGTCGTTGCTAATGGAGGCCTCTATGCATTTGTGGAAGGCACAAAGGATGAGAGAGACAAAGTGTAAAGTACGTTCAGAGAATGTTGAGTAATTAAACTGGTCAAAAGGGTGGTAATAGCCTTTATATGGTATTATTGCCATGTTGGGAAGAATTTTTAATGTCACAGTAAACTGTGCATTTTGGGCGCCTGGGTAGTTCAGTTGGTTAAGCATCTGCCTTCGGCTCAAGTCATGAACCCAGGGTCCTGGTATGGAGTCCTGCATCAGGCTCCCTGCTCAGTGGGCAGTCTGCATCCCCCTCTCCCTCTGCCCCTCCTCCCCACCTCACCCCTGCCTGTACTCTCTGCTTTCTCTCATGCTCTCTCAAATACATAAATAAAATATTTTTTTAAAAAAGAGTGCATCTTGGGATGCCTGGGTGGCTCACTCGGTTAGGCATCTGCCTTTGGCTCAGGTCATGATCTCCAGGTTCTGGGATCAAGCGCCATGTCTCTCTCCCTGCTCAGTGGGCAATCAGCCTGTCCCTCTGCCCCTCTCTTTGCTGCCCCTCCCCCTGCTCCTGTGCGCAAGTGCGTGCTCTCTCTCGCTCTGAAATAAATGAATAAATAAAATCTTGTAAAAAATAAAAATAAAAAGAGTGCATCTTATTTGTAATCAGTAAGAAACAATGACAAAATTTGCCAATAGATGGAAAGAAGGGCCAAAGACAGGAACAGGTTGAACCAGGAGGAAAGGCCTATGTGTGGGGAGGTGAGTTCTAGGCAAGGGATGTGTGAGAAGAAATAGGGGAGGGAGAGATGCCTGGGTGGCCCAGTCGTTAATCGTCAGTCTCGGCTCAGGACATGAACCTCAGGGTCTTGGGATGGAGCCCCACATTGGGCTCCCTGTACCGTGAGAAGCCTGCTTCTCCCTCTCCCACTCCCCCTGCTTGTGTTCCTTCTCTCGCTGTGTCTCTCTCTGTCAACTAAATAAACAAAGTCTTAAAACAAACAAACAAACAAACAAACAACAACAACAACAACAAAACCCACCTTTCCCCAGGTGAGGGGAAAGGAGTTTAGAGGAAAGTAGTATGAGCACGTGGAAGGTGCAGTGGGTCGATCATTTCAGGCTGATAGAGACAGGTAAGGAGTGACAGGGACATGCTGGGAGGGAAGAAGATAAGGGATGATGAAGACAGATGAGGTTTGTGGGGACAGGTAAGGAGGGATGGGGTCCTGCCGGAGTGAGAGGTGGCGGTCAAGTGAATGGTGAAACCAGCGAGGAGAACCGAAGAGCTGGAGTGGGACCATCTGAAGGAGAACCCTAAGGCTGCAGGAGTGGAGAGAGGAGCGGAGTGGAATGTGATGTCAGAGAAAGGGCGGTGATGTAAGAGCCGGGCGGTGGGGCGGTGATGTCAGGGTTGGTGCTGATGCTGGCGGCGCAGTGCATTGTGGGCAGCTCCCCGCTCAGCCGCTGCCTCCGCCGTCGCCCAAGGAGGATCGGGGCCGGGTCGGGCCGGGCGGGGATGATCCCGGGCGGGAGGCCGCCGCCGCCGCCGCCACCGCCGCCGGAGGGAGCGGGCAGCCCCGCGCCGCACTGAGCCGCCCCCGCCCCCGCCCCGCCCCGGCCCCGGGGGATGCGCCGCCCCGAGCCGCTGCCTCCGCCGCCGCCGCAGCCGCAGCCGCAGCGGGCACAGAGCAGGTGAGGCGGGGCGGGGCCGGCGGCGGGCCGGCGGGGTCGGGGCGGGGGCTCCCCTGCGGGCTCCGCGGGCCTCGGGCCCGGCTCGCCTCCCAGCGCAGCCTTCCCCAGCTCCCCCTCCCTGGGCCGTGTCCGCCCGAGCCGGGACGCCCGCCGCTGGCCTACACAGCCTGGGCCGCATCCCGAGGCCTGGAACGGCTCCCTACCACCCGCCCCCCCAGCCCCAGCACACACACTCGCCCTTGCCAGTCAGCCCCCCACGGCCTCTGCCCCTCGCTTCTCACCGCTGCCCCGGTCCCCACGGCTTCACCCTGCTGTCACCCTGACAAGCCTTCCCAGCTGCCTCCATAACCTCTCTCCCTCATCCTCACTCCCTCCGTCCCTGAAGCCAGTTGCCTTACCTACTTCCTCACCCCTTCAGCAGTGCCCAGAAGCCCGTCCCGGGGACCTGCTGCTCCCTCAACCTGTCATCAGGATCGCTGCTCATCGCCTGCTTCTGTCTTACCCAACCCCCTCCACGGATCCTGTCACCAACCCCCCATCCCTTCCCTTCATCTCTGCCTCCTGCCTCATCTCTTCTCACCTGTTCCCACTACCCCTCACTGGGTTCCTTCACCTCTCCTTACCTGCGCTCCCAGATTCCCACAGACACCTGGCTCACACCTTGCATAGTTACACATCAACACCTCTACTCACACACCATGATGAGCTCCCTCCCTCGTTGTGTCTCCCTGTCTCCCCACCCCCCCCCACAATTGGCCCCACACTGTCTGACAGATACTTATAAAAACCTCTTCCACAAGCCCCCTCCCATGGCACACCCATGCCTCCACATACCCAAAGGGTCCTGAGGAGGCAGTAATGGGGCAGCTAAGTTCCTTGTGGTCTGTCGTCCAGCCTAGTCTAAGCTGAGGGCAATTCCTCAGAGGCAGACAGTGAGGATGGTGGACTGGAAGAGGCCGGGAACCCCCATTTAGCCTTTGGCCGCCACCTCTTTTCCCACCCCCCCCTGTTCCTTCTTGGCTTGTCCATCTCGAAACTCGTTGCTACATCCCAAATTTCCACACCAACCTATAGAATCTACCATCACAGGACTGGAAGGCCCACCAGGGGTCATCAGCTGCTCCAGGCTCTCTCCCAATTGGTTCAGTTTCTTCTTTGGTCTTGTCCTCAACATGTTTCCACCTTTAGTTCAGAACCCCCCACCCCCTGCCTCTCCCTTTACCCTGCCATTGCCCTCACTGCCCTCTGGATTCCTCATGCCCTACATGCCACTTTGGCAGAAGGTGGGCAGCGGCCTATTTGATTGACATCCCCATGGTTCTGAATCTCTGAAGTTGGGTGGCTTGGAGAGTCAGCTGAGTCACTTGAAGAAGGATAGGACAAGAGTGACAGTGTCCCTTTGCATGAAGCTCCCTTCTCCACATGTCTCTCATGGCCCTCTATGACCTGTTGAAGGTGGTTTTTATGCCTTTACTACCCCATACTGCCCCCTGTATGAGGATGACTAGACACAAGAGCCTGGGGGAGTTATCCCCACCCCAAGGAAAGACAGGTTTATGGAGTTTTTGCTCCATCCATGCATACCTTGGTCACTGTCTTCCTCCCCATCTCCATTCCACCCCACCTCGTCCCCAGCTAAGCAACTGCTTGCCCACTGTGACTCTCCAGGGTCACTATGAGGGCAGAGTAGTGTGCTCATCCAAAGTGTAGGGGGAAGGGGGGAGAAAGAGAGGAAATGGACGAGGTTGACAGAAATCTCAAAAAGCAGCCCGCTGTCTGTATGCATGCATATCACAGACAGACACAACAACATGCATAAGCACCCATGGACAGATGGACAGGAGCAGACACAAAGACACATGGACACACAAAGACATATACATACTCACGGAAGGACACATGTGCAGATACACACACAGACACATACATGTGCACACACATTTGTTTCCCTGGATAACGCTGGTGGGCTTTCCCAAGCCTCACACTCGGGACAATCTCTTTGACATCCAACTTCTACCTCTGCGGCCTTCTTGTTCCGGAGCAGACAGAAAGGTGGGATCAGAGCTCTCAGTGCACACCCACCGCGACCTGCTGCTCCTTGGCATTCCTCTGGCCTCTCACACCTATCCCATATCCTGTTGTTCCCAAGACACCCCCCCCATCCGCCCAGTTCAGCCTGTCTCTCTCTGTGGGAGTGGCTGCAGGTCTGTGGTCCCTCTGAAATCCATGTGCTGAGTGCATCACCTTTGTTCATCCCATGGATCGCATCTTTGCTTCTGAACCCCATGGCTGTCAGTGAGTTGGACTCACCCCTGAGAATGGTGTGTGCCTCACACAACAGCAGCCTCCTCACTTGGCACCATCCCCAAGGGGCTGCTGTGCAGCTCCTCTCCTTGATTATCCCACCCCCTGTGGTGGATGAGCAGGTCTGCATCACTCTGGGGCCGCTCTCCCATGGGTCACCCCTCGGTCAGCAGGACTCCCTATTTTAGTAAGCTTCAGATGCTCAGCTCCATGGACATTTGGTGTCACCTCTGCATAGGAATGTGTGGGTGTGGGGGGGGGGGCTCCCATCAAGTCACTCAGACGGATCTTTCTCAGCCCAAGTGTCCCCTACACAAGCATGGGTGGGGGGTAGCAAGTGTCCTCCACGTTAGCATCTCTCTCTTTGGGAAATGCTGTCCCCCCCCCCCCCAGCATGCTCACACAGCATTTTCCTCTCCTTTTTTCAACACGTGTGTCCTGTTGCTGGGTTTCCCATCCCCAGTTCCTAGTTTGTGTCTCCTTTCCCGTGGATAGTATTTCTGTCTTCTCTTGTGACCTCCACCAGGGCGGTTACACAGTGCTTCCCCCAGTAACCCCTGGAGCATCTGCCCAGCGGGCCCGGGGAGGATGCCTGCCAGGAGAATGGCGCTCCCCTCCTCCGTATCTGCAGGAGGGTACCGGGTCCTTTGCCTGCCCCACTCACGGCCCCTCCCCACCCCCCCAGGTAGATGGCCCCCCCAGGGCAGGCCCTGCGGACACCCCTCCCTCCGGCTGGCGGATGCAGTGCCTAGCGGCTGCTCTTAAGGACGAAACCAACATGAGTGGGGGAGGGGAGCAGGCCGACATACTGCCGGCCAACTACGTGGTCAAGGATCGCTGGAAGGTGGTGAGTGACCCGGCGGGGCCAAGGGAGGGGTGGGGAGAGGAGGGGAGGAGAAGAGCAGAGAGGACCAGAGACCTGTTAAAACAGTTGCCCCCAACTCTTCTCCCCTAAGAGGGAGGTGCCCCCAAGTTCATCTGTATACTGCTTGAGGTCACTATTTTGGCGTACACTTGTGGACAATCGCTTTCTCTCAGCGCCCTCTCTCACCCCTTTCCCTGCTGGGTCACGTTGCTCGGGCCCAGCCTGGAACAACTCCTGGTTGGACGTCGGAGCAGGAGCTGCAGAGCTCTGTGGGGGAGGCGGGCGGGGTGGGGGAGGGGGCTCTTTCGTTGCCGGACTTTGGAGAAGGGCAGTGAGTGAGCATGTGTCCCTCCGCTTCCGCAGAGGACGGAAAGGCCTGGCTTCGGGGAAAGAGGCCCTGCGGGCTGCTCCCACTGCAGCCGCACTCCATCTTCTCCTTCCACCCTCCTCCCTTCACTGGTTCCTGCGGCAGGTGCAAGACGCCGAGACTCCATGTCCCAGCGTGCCTTGCTCGTCCAGCCCAGGACGTCGGGCTGTTCGGCCTGCTGGGAGTTGTAGTCCGAGCCTCCTCCGGGTTCAGGCCTGGACGGGAGGGGGACCTGTGAGGGGTTGGGGGAAAGGCAGTGTCTGGGGATTGGGACCTCTGGTAAATCAATCCCTGTCCCCCTTTTCCTCCCGTCGCTTAAGAGCTCTCTGTTGTCCTTTTATTATTGTGGGGGCAGGATGGTGTAGGGCGGATTGCAGGGTGATGTTGTGTGAGCTTGTGGGGAGCCTGGAGGAGAGGAGGGAGAAGAGAGCAGGCCTACATTGAGGCTCTGTGTGGGGGTGTGTGGGAGTTGAGGGGAGAGGCTCAGCTCACCTGGGCTGCAAGGTTGAGGAGAGAGTGGGACCTGGGTGCTAGCTGGTATCCATGGCAACAACCACTCCTCCAGCAGGTTCCCTAAAGGCCCAGGGATAGGGGCAAAGGTGGCAGTGTTGTCTGAGATGTCTCAGGGACTGGGAGAGGTGGTGGCACTTGGAGGGCCAGAGAGCTGAGGGAAGGAGCCATTTAAGTCCCAGAGAGGACTTCCTGAGAGGAAGAGTGACAGGACAGAAATTGGGGAGGAGGAGCCAGGGCAGTGATCAAGGGAATGAGGGTTAGGGTCTGGCAAAATGAGGAGTGTTCCTTCAAAAACACTCTGGGTCCCCTGACACGAGAGCTTAGTTTCTGACAGATTGGAGGCAGAAGGACATTTGCCCTGAAGAAGTGAGAAAGAGATAGTGTTCACACCATACTGAGTTTGGATTAGAACTTTTCACTGCTTTTTGAGGGAGGGGGTGGGAGATGAGTAGGGAGAGAAATGGCGGTGGGGGAGGGGTTGTTGGGGGAAGGGGAAAGTGTTTAATCTCTGCCAGGCTGACATCTCTTAACCATCACTCCCTCCCTGGCTCCTGGAGAAATAGAGAGGGTGGGGTACCAGATGCCTCCCCTCAGCCATCTCCCTGTGAGGGGCAGGGGACAGAGACAGGAGGCAGAACTCAGGAATGGAAGAGAAAATGAGCCGGCCAGGATGAAGGGAGGGGTGGTGGCACTAGGTGGAGTATTTACAAATAAGAACATTTGACCCTACTTGAGGGGTGCTTCTCAGAATCAGAATAGCAGACACCACCACCACTAATAAAAACAGCATTCGTTTTGAGCACTTATTGTTTCCAGACACTGTGCAAAGTGCCTTACCTGCATTATTTCACCAAACAATGGAATAGATATTATTACCCACTTTTCACAGGTGTGGAAACAGGTACAGAGACTGACTCACCTCCCACGTTCTCAGGAGGCTTGGGTGGAACCAGGTCTATCTGACGGCCAGGTCACCAGCCACTAAGCGGTACTGCTTCCCAAGCATTAGCCCACCCAAGAATCAAGAGCACAGAGATGAAGGAGTCTTTGTGACCAGTTCTAGAATAACTTTTTCATTTTACAGAGGAGGAAACGAGGAGGAAAAAAATTAAGAAACTCACTCCAGGTGACCCAGAGCTGGGCCAAGAAACCAGTTTTCCCTTTTCCTAAGTGAATGATGGTCTTATTGTATCATATTTGCCCTTCAGTAGCCCTCCTTTGACAGGGGAGGAGATCCTGAAAAAAATTAGGAGGGAAGGAATAGGGTCTGACAAAAAGAGGTTGAGAGAACATTCTGGTTACCTGGCTTGGACAGGGCTGCATTATGACTTTCATGGGCCCTGGGCGCTTTTGCCTTCATGGATCCCTTTCTCTCTAATAAAGTACTAAAAGCTATATTTTATGACTGCATTGGTATAAAGAGGAGTGAATTAACATTACATATTAAAATGTTTTGACCCAAGAGGTCATTTGTTTTCCTTGTGATTTAAAAATATTGAAACATTTTTATGGCCCCCTAAAAGTATTATGGGCCACTGTGCCTGCTATGACCGATGGGTGAGTGGCGTCTGTAGGGCCTGGGGAGGAGGGGTGTTAGGTGAGTGGGTGGGTGCAGACCCCCAGCTTGCTGCCTCAGGGAGGTTCGGTAATGGGTGTGGCAGGTTATGGAGGGGGTTAGGGGAGAAGAAACAGCTTCTGTTTGGAAGTGAAGATGGCAGAGAAATACCATTGGCCACCCTCAAAAATTGGGGAGCTGGTATTGGAAATATCTTGGTGCCCTGAGCCCTCCTTACCACCTCTTAGGAGGGTTTCGGAGCTTTGTGGATTCGGGCTTGAATCTCAGCACTCACACCTTTAAGCCCTGTGCTGTCACCAGTTGCTGTGAGATCATGGTTAAGAGTGTGGGCTCTGAATCAGAGTGCCTGGGTTTAAGGGAAACTTGGAGTTGCTGCTTACTAGCAAGTGTGACCTGGGGCAGAGTACTTAATTCCCTGCGCCTTAGTTTTCCTTCTGTGCAAAATGGTGACTCTTATGACCTTCCGCACTTGTGTTGTCAGGAACCTTAGGGGACAAGCTGAGATGATGTCTGTGTGTCTGGAGCACAGAACCCAAGATGGGGCTTTTGTTCTCTCCCTCGCCCCCTTCCTTTTATGCTGGCACACAACAAACCTTAAAGGATTCTAGAAGATACTAGACTCTCCTCTGAGTTTAAAGTTCCCCAGAGGGAGACATGCCGCTTCTTCCCTTGAGTCTGCTTCTATCCCCTCTGGATTCTGAAATTCTTCTAGGAGGGGGGCCTGGGTGGCTCTGTTGGTTAAGTGTCTGCCTTTGGCTTAGGTCATGATCCTAGGGCCCTGGCATCATGCCCCCCCCCCCAATTAGGCTCCCTGCTCAGTGGGGGGCCTGCTTCTACCTCTCCAGCTCCCCTAGCTTGTGCTCTCTCCTTTCTCTGTCAAATAAATAAATAAGTCTTTAAAATGTTTTTTTTTTTTAATGAAATTCTTCTAGGAGTCTGACTTAACTTTTGTCTGAAGTACAGAGAGACTCTGGTTTCACACTGTCTTTCCTCCTTTCTCTTTCCCTGTCTCCTTCCTGGGCACAAGAGCCTTCAGGACGCAGCCAGAGGTGCTCTTCTGTCTAAATCTTCCTTTCATCCTCTGTCTCTTCCTGGAGTGGTGTCAGCTGTCACCCGCTGGGAACTCCCAGCCCTGGGCTCTGGCTTGCCCCCTTCCCTCCTCCATCCCCATGCTTCAGCCACCATTAAACATTTAATGGGACCTGAGTGCTGAAGAAGTGCTAAGGGGCGGGCTTAGAGATGCATGGGGCTCAGAGTCCCTTTACAGGCTGGCTGGTCAGAGCAGCCTCCGCCCAATCGCCAGCACGCCCAGCTGTGCTGGTGAGTTAATAAGCCAACGGGAGGCGAGTGAGCCTTCTGGAAGATGTTCAGCGAGGGCAGGCCACCTGTGAGGTGAGCCATACATCTTTTTTAACCAACTGAGTCCCGGCTTAGAACTCAGCATCTTTTCCTTGTCCCTCATCATTGCCAGCAGCACACTCGCTCTCCAGGAACCCCGGCGCCTCTGACTTGAAATGATTTTAATCCCTCCCCATCACTCAGCTTTGCTCATCTCCCCTGGCTGGCTCTTTCTCCAACTCAGTTCTCCCCTCTGCCTTTTCTCACTGCCTGCCCTGGGACGCTGGAGGAGGAGGGCCTAGAGGGTCAGGTCTGTACTGCCTCGTCCCCTGGGGGGGGAATAGATGGACTTTCCAAACCTGCATTCCCACCAGGGTCCCCGCACGCGCCCCTGGCCCCCAGAGGAGGCTCACCCTGGTTTGGGGCATCTGACTAGGGGTCTAGGAAGTGCCGTGAGCTTCAGCAGCAGGCATGGGCAGTGAATACCCTTTGGTGAGAGTCCTCCCCAAATACCCCCTCCCCCCATCACTCTCTCCCTTTAATAACACCTGTCAGGAGACTGCCCACCTGAGGAAGGGCCCGCTTCTCTGGAAGATCCACTTTGAAGCTGGGAGGTTCTGGAAATTCGTTTTCCTTCTGGATGGTGGTGGTTTAATCTAGTCGAGGAGTAGGGGAACGGTGATATTTCTTGTCCTTCCAGAGAAGAAAAGTTTCATGATGGCCCATGATCTCTTTAGAACCCTACAAGGCTCGTCTCCATGTCTGTATGGAGTCAGAGGTCTCATACCCTCTCCCACCTCCCACTCTGACATCTAGCGCTGTGTGTGTGTGTGTGTGTGTGTGTGTGTGTTTGTGCGCGTGCACACACGCATGCGTGCCCATGGGCTGAGCTGTCTCTGGCACTAGGAAAGGAGGTGGGGGCCCTGGCGGGTGGGGCAAGGAAGACAGACACAGGGTCCTCCTCTTCAAGGGTAGCCATACCCCCACCAAGGAAGGGCTAGCAATGGATGGGACTCAGAGCCGCTGAGCCTGATCCCTGTGTTTCCTATCCTCTTCTTCCATCTACATAGCTGAAAAAGATCGGAGGCGGGGGCTTTGGTGAGATCTACGAGGCCATGGACCTGCTGACCAGGGAGAATGTGGCCCTCAAGGTGGAGTCAGCCCAGCAGCCCAAGCAGGTTCTCAAGATGGAGGTGGCTGTGCTCAAAAAGCTGCAAGGTGCGGGTCAAGGGCAGGAGGATGGGCAGAGAGGTGAAGGTTGGGATCTGGGATCTGGGGCTAAGGGAGAGCTGATGGGGGATGCTGAGACAGGGCGGAGTCTAAGGGCCGTGGTGGGGAGAGGGGCAGGCGGAGGGAGTGGGAGAAGTCATGGGACTAGGAATCAAGAACTCACTGGAGACCCCTGAGAACTGGAAGGGAGGAAGAAGGGGTGGGAGTTGGGAGACCCCTGTCTGTGCCCCCCAGGGAAAAGCCACGTGTGCAGGTTCATTGGCTGTGGCCGGAATGAGAAGTTTAATTACGTAGTGATGCAGCTCCAGGTGAGTCCCCTTGGGGTCCTCCCTCTTGTCCCACAAAAGCTTGGGTTGTGACCATGGGTGTGGGGAGTGGGCACAAACCTCTGGGGATGAGGCTGGGCAGAATGTCAAGTGGTGCCGTGGGGAAGGGGGCAGGGCAGCCGAGCCTAGCCAGCCCCGGCCGCCACCCCCAGGGCCGGAACCTGGCCGACCTGCGCCGCAGCCAGCCTCGAGGCACCTTCACGCTGAGCACCACGCTGCGGCTGGGCAAGCAGATCTTGGAGTCCATCGAGGCCATCCACTCCGTGGGCTTCCTGCATCGGGACATCAAGCCGGTGAGGGTTGCCCTCCCTGGCCCCTCCTCCAAAGCGCAACCCCACCACTTCTCCCTCTCCAGGTCCCATGGTTTCTCCTCCAGAGCTGTGGTTGGAGCAGGAATAGCCTCTTCTACCTGTCCCTTTCTCCTGCTCTCTGCCCCAAGCCCACCTCCTCCTCTCCCCTGCCTGCCAAGAGCACATAGCCCTGCCTGCCCCTGGCCCACTTCTCTCCTCTATTCTTCCCTTCTCCCTTACCTCTGCCCTGAGTAGTCCTTGAACTTTGAAAGGTGCTGGGGCTGGGGAAGCATAGAGGAATCTAGGACGAAAGAGACCGAGGGGCTGGGCTTGGTAAGGAATTCCCAGAAGCTGATTTTGTCTTGGATCCCGGTGTTGGAAGAATCTCCTATTCAACTAAGGACTGACAACGGAGGTCCAGAAAGATTGGCTGAATGGCCCAAGGTCACACAGCAAGAACAAGGCAGGTCTGCTGCTGCCTCAGAGCAGGACAGGGTCACTAAGCCACTCAGCCCTGCTGGGGCATCCCAAGGATTGAGGACTGGATGTATACCTCGGTTCAACCCCCAGCTGGGTCATCACCTGTTGTGTGATCTTGGAGAAGCCCCATAATCTCTTTGACCTTGGGAATGCTCAGCTCTCAGATAAGGGGGATCCCATCTGTCTCTCAGATGGGATGTGATGACCTGTGGTCCAAGGTGGTGTTTACACTTAACCATGGTTCTTGGCGCCCCTTGAGGTGGGCCAGGTGGGTTTGGAGCCCCACGGTCACAGCTACTGTCTTCCCCAGTCAAACTTTGCCATGGGCAGGCTGCCCTCCACCTACAGAAAGTGCTACATGTTGGACTTCGGGCTGGCGCGGCAGTACACCAACACCACGGGGGACGTCCGGCCCGTGAGTATCGCTGCTCCCGGGGACCCCCGGCCGCCCCGCCTGGCTCCCCGACCTGAGCACCCTTCGCCAATTCTTCCTGCAGCTGCCTAAGCGGGCCCGGCCTGGGATTCAGTAGGAGCAGCACCTAGCTCGGTCTACACTCAGCCCGTCCCCCTCCGCTCCTGGAGCGCTTGTAGTTGCATTAGCCTCACCCCGTGATCGGCACCCTGTGATCTGGCTGCCCACCTGGGTCAGGGACGGACACAGGGGCAGTGAGCAGGGTCAGGAGGTGGGGGTAGCACTGGGGTTGGTGTGTCAGTCTTGGGGGTGGAGGGAGGCAGTCCCGGTTAAAGTAGGCAGAGTTAGGCTCGGTAAGCAGGATGGAGATGCGGCCAAAGTCAGGGGCGGCGGGTGAGGGCCCTGCTGTGTGTTCTCCCTTTTGCAGCCCCGGAATGTGGCCGGGTTTCGAGGGACTGTTCGTTATGCCTCAGTCAATGCCCACAAGAACCGGGTGAGTGGCAGAGCCGGGCCTGAGGAGGTGGGGGCAGTGCGGCCCAGGTCAGGGGCAGAGCGTGCAGCTCAGGAAGAGGGACGGACGGGCAGCCATTGCGGTGGGCACAGAAGTATGGGGCAGGGGCTGGGAGCTGCCACACCAGAGACCACTGCTGGAAGAAGGCTCCGCTGCCACCTCCCTGTGACTTCACCTTCGTCCTTGTTTTTGGAGATTCCCTCCTCTCTGCTCACACCATCCACGTAGGGGGACGAAGCATGGATGGAAGTTTTGATGTTGGGATTCTGTGTGTCTTAGAAGGTCAGGGGAAAGCCATGGTTTCAGGGAGACCTCAGCTCTGCTCATGGGAATTTGGGTGTCCGACCTCCCTGAGGCCAGATCCCCTCAGGAAGGGTCAGTCCCAGGGAAAGACCCGAGAGCTGTGGGTGACTCCCCTCACCGCCCCCCCACCATCCCCAGGAGATGGGCCGCCATGATGACCTGTGGTCCCTTTTCTACATGCTGGTGGAGTTTGCAGTGGGCCAGTTGCCCTGGAGGAAGATCAAGGACAAGGTAAGCCCTGTGGGGCTGGGTCTGAGGAGGTGGAGGGGGCATGGGGGCACAGGGGTTCCGTCACCCTGTGCCCTCTTGCCTCCAGGAGCAGGTAGGGATGATCAAGGAGAAGTATGAGCACCGAATGCTGCTGAAGCACATGCCTTCCGAGTTCCACCTCTTCCTGGACCACATCGCCAGCCTCGACTACTTCACCAAGCCTGATTACCAGGTGGGAGCCTGCCACCTGGCCCCCGCATCCCTGGACGTCTCCATGGGGGCGACCATCCCCGGCGGCACCCACACTGCCGGGACCCCACTCCCCTGCTGGCTGAGCCCTGGGCATCTTCCCCGGTCTTCCAACTGCATGACACTGTACTGTGCTCTTGTAAACGGTATTCATAGCTACGAGTTATCAACAGCTGACCCTCTTCTCGGTACTTTTCATGCATTAACTCATTTAAACTTCAAAACAAGCTTTTGGTGATAATGTGTGTTCCTTATGTGATTATTCTAACACTCAACAATTAATGAAGCCAAATGCTTTCAAATATTTCACACCAGAATTCTGCGTTGTCCCCATTTCACAGATGAGGAAACTAAGACCGGATAGCATGGCAGGGTGCAGGGCTGGGCCCAGGCACATCTCCTGACTCCCAAATCCAGAGCTTTTTCCAAGGTGCCACCATCACACCCCTAGGGGACTCACTTAAATCCTGACAGGAGAGGGGGGGAATGCATTAGCAGTGTGCTGCCCAGGACCCACAATGTGCCAGGCACAAGTCTCCACACCCCGGAGGACAGCGACAGGCACACAGGGGGCCTCAGTGAAGTGGGTTCTGCCAGCAGAGAGACCCTGCCCTGCATTCTGAAGAGAGCTAAGTCAGAGCTGGAATGGTCTGCGGGCCTCTGATGGGCTACGGGTGTCCACCACACCCTGAGCCTGGAGCCCTGGTGGTTGGCACAGATGCCTCACTTGAGTGATAGAAGGCTCTGCCCCCCCAGTTCTCCCCCTGGGGTTCCCCAGACTAGACAGCTGCAAGCAAGTGAGCATACAGTGTGCTATGCTAGGAACAGAGAGCGGCGGATAAGGGAGTGTGTGGGCGGGGGAATCAGGGAAGGCTTCGCAGAGGAGAGGACCGGTGGGTTAGGCTGCGCCGCTAGAGGCAGCAGTCTGTGCGGAGCGTGACCCCAGGTGGTGGCTTTGGGAAACTACCAGAGCTCCTGGGCTCCGGAGATGGTGGGAATGGCAGAGCAGTCTGGGTGGGGATGGTAAGCAGGGGACGGATCCCAGAGGGTTTGGCGTCCAGCCAGTGGGGCTCAAACCAAGATGGTGATTTGCATGCTGATTTGCATATCATGTGCATGTTTTCATTTAAAATCAATGTGCCCTTCTCCTTCCAGTGCCCCCTCTCAGCCCATCCCTGTCCTGGAAGGTCCCTCTCTTCCCCCTGCAATCCCAGCAACTGCGCCCTCCTCCTGGCTAGCCCCAGGGTCACCTCTCTGTCCTCCCACCACCCCCACCCCTGCAGTTGATCATGTCGGTGTTTGAGAATAGCATGAAGGAACGGGGCATCGCTGAGAATGAGGCCTTTGACTGGGAGAAGGCGGGCACCGATGCCCTCCTGTCCACGAGCACCTCCACTCCACCCCAGCAGAACACCCGGCAGACGGCAGCCATGTTTGGGTGAGTCTCGGGAGGGATGATGGGCCAGTGGGGGGCCAGGACTGTCACCCAGAAAGTCAGCCCTCTCCTCCTCTTCCTACATGGACACACCTGACTGTCTTTCCTATTCCTGGTGCTCAACCGTGGGGTTCTCGAGCTCCAGGCAGTTCTACCACCTCTCTGCCTTCAATGGGGGGACACAGCAGGCATTCTCCTTTGGAGTTTTTGACCTTACTAGGGAGTGGGAAGCCCTGAGGGAAATTACCTGAGCCCCACACTTTGTTTCTGTTGTTCACACACATTCCTTTAGGCAGCATGTCCTGAGCCTGTGTCCAGGGCTGGTGGGGCTCAGAGAAAAGACTTGTAGCCCCTGCCCTCAGAGTGCTCTTGGGTCTGGGGTATTTGTCATGGACCGGTCCGTGACATCCGCGCTGGGTGACCAGCACAAAGACAGAGGCACCCGGGAAGGGGCCAGCGTGAGGCGGGGCCCCTCGCCCTGCCCCGGGGAGGAGCCAGGGAGACAGGGGCAGGGGCTCCGGGAAAGAGACTCCGAAGGGCCTGGTGGCACATCATGGTGCCTCGTTTTGCAAAGATACCGCTCGAGGAGTTCCCAAGTGATTCTTCTCTTTAGACCCCTTCCTGTTCTAAACGAGGCCAGCCAGCGAACCACACTGGAAATCTGGTGGGGCCGGGAAAGTAACAGTCTCCTAAAGTGATAGGGTGACATGGCTGCCACCTGGGCGGCCACATCTCCCTGCGGCCCTGTGCCAGCCTGAGGACGGCCCCGGGGCAGGCTTGGTGAACCGGGGATGGTGAGCCCCACGGACGCCCCACTCCTGCCGAGGCCTCTCCTGTGCCTGCTCCCTGGGGTGGCAGTGACCTGCGGGGTCTGCGCTGGGAGGAGAGAGCACCCCTGCCAGCCCCGGCCCCTCCCGGCCTCTCCAGGGTGGTCAACGTGACGCCAGTGCCTGGGGACCTGCTCCGGGAGAACACTGAGGACGTGCTGCAGGGCGAGCACCTGAGCGACCAGGAGAACGCACCTCCAATCTTGCCTGGCCGACCCTCTGAGGGGCTAGGTCCCAGCCCCCACCTGGCCCCCCACCCTGGGGGTCCTGAGGCTGAAGTCTGGGAGGAGACGGATGTCAACCGGAACAAACTCCGGATCAACATCGGCAAAGTAACTGCAGCCAGAGAGAAGGACGTGGGTGGCCTTCCCCCGCTCCCACCCTGGTTCCCAGCCCACGGCCCCCTTCCCGTTCCTCCTGTGTGCCCTCTCCCCAGCCATCCGCCCTCGGGCCCTGCCTCCGTGGCCTCGCCCCATGTCAGGATCACCAGCGTCGACCTCCCTCTGTCTCCTTCACCCTGGGAAAAGCACTTGGCCCACAGCCACCCTGTTGGCCCCCGTTCATGGGACTCCCCTCTCCTGCAGACCCCTTGTGTGGTGGAAGAGGAACAGAGCCGAGGTGTGGGGGTCCCTAGCTCCCCAGTGCGTGCCCCTCCAGACTCACCGACAACCCCCGTCCGTTCTCTTCGCTACCGGAGGGTCAACAGCCCTGAGTCTGAGAGGCTTTCCACAGCCGACGGGCGGGTGGAACTGCATGAGAGAAGGTAGGTCTGGGGCTGGGCGCACGGCCAGGGGTCCCCTGGTCCCTTCAGCATTCACATGGCTGCTCTGAAGGAAAGAGCAGATGCAGTGTGGAGGTGGGCAGGGACCCTGGGAGTGTTGAGGGGGTTGTCCTTGGGCCTGGGGTCGACCTTGGTTAGTCAGTGACAAGGCCTGGAGAGGGGGTTGGGGGTACCAAGGTTCCATCTCATGTCATGAAGGGATGGAGGTGGGGAGGCGGGTTGTTGGAGGGGTAGGCTGGGTCCCCGAGCCCAGGAGGAGGCAAGGGGTGAGCCGGTAGGTGGGTGTGCTTCTAGAATCCCTCCTTAGAGACTAATTACAGATGCCTCTGAGCAGCTGACTAGGCTCTCTTCAGCTTTGGGGGAGGGGCCTGGGAGGAGAGACCAGGAAATGCTCCGCTCCAAGAGGGGGTGGATCAAGTTTTGGGGGTCGGGGTGCAGGGATCTGAATGTCACGGGGTCACCTGGTTGGTGGGACAGAGAGTTTAGAGCCAAAATGTGAGGGGGGGCCCATGGCCATCAGAGACCAGAGTCAGAACCTCCCTGAGGCCTCTGAGAGATGCCTCCACCCTCGTGTGGCTCTGAGTGGACCTTCACCACACAGCAGGGCTGCCATCTTCTCTGCACCAGGAAAGGGGCCTTTCCCCAGGGCCCAGCTCAGGAGGCTGGGTTGCTTCTTCCCATCTGTGCCACGTGCCTCCTCTTCCCCACCCACAGCCCCTCCTCTGGATTCTGCTCTAAATTGCACCCTGACTCTGAGGTGGGACACGGTGCCCTTTGCAGTGTGGCAGTGCTCAAGACAGAGAAGGCCTGTGCCAGTCCCTGCGGCAAACCCAGGACAGGGGGACACGGGCCCAGTGCCCAGGTTGCCAACAGCCCTCACACAGTCACACTCACGTGGGTTGGCCTCCCTGGGACTGAAGACCATGTCTGCATCCATGGTAGCCCAGCCCAGAGGGTCGAGGAAACAAGGAGAGCCAAGGAGCAGCAGTGTGGAGGGGGTGTCAGTGGAGAAGAGAGGTGGGAAGGCCCCAAACAGACAGTATTGAAGAGCAGACTGGCTTGACCCAGTGTGAACCCTTGTTTCAGGGCTAATGGGAAGAGGAGACTGCTGAAGAGAAACTTTCTGGAAGGGAAGGTTCAGGATCTTGTAGGGCAGGGCAGAGGGTTTGGGTGGGTTCTGGGGCTCTTGGGAGCAGGAAAAAGTATGAAGCCGCTGGGATTGGATGCCCACCTTCCCCCTTTCCTTCACCTCTCTTTCTCCCACCTTCAGCCCCTCTCTTCCTTGGGTGCCCTTTCTCCTTTATGTCCATCAAAACAAACCATGTGCTCAGGAAAGGAAGCCACATCAGCCATTTTCATGGCAGGCCCTGAATCTCCTCCCTCAGGGATGTGTGTATTTTAAGCCTTATTAAATCAGTAACAATCTCATGGAGAGGAAGGAGGTAAGTCCCACAGACCAGGGCGGAAGGACGTTGAGAAAGCCCCACAGTGGCTCCGAGCTGCACCCGTTTCCGTCACAGGCTCGAGGCTGGGGGAGAATGAAAGTTAGCCCCCTGCCCACAGCCCGAGTGGGAGGGTGTGCACAACCCGAGGCAGCTAAGCCTCCCTGGTTCTCAGTGAGGGGGCGCCCTTCCTACAACCAGCAACACCTTCACCTCAGGGCTGGTACCCAGCCCCGTCCCAGGCTGGGAGCCCCTGGAGGTAATGCGAGGTTCCCAGCACAGTGGAAGAGATGTCCTCTGGCAGGGTCACTGGCCCAGCATGAAAAGTCAGGTGGGGCCCAGGCCCTGCCAGGGGATCTCACAGCCTCTGGGGAAGACTGATATGTAAACACACGTGCTCCACTCTGTGGTGAGAGGGGAACACAGCGCTGGGAAGGCAAACTTGCCCCATCCCCAGCAGAGCAGTATGGAAAGGCTCCCCAAGGAGGTGACATCCTTGCCGGGTGGGACAGCAAAGGGCATGCAGAGAGTTAGGTGCAATGGCACCGAAGTAAGAGCACGCAGGCAGTTCGGGGGGAAAAGCCAGTGACAGAGATGAGTCTGCCTCAGAGAATGGTGAACCTGGGCCTTGGCCTGGCCACCTGAGTGCCCAACTAAGGAATATGGACTTTGTTCTCCAGGCTGGGAGCCACTGGAGTTTGTTGGGGGTGGTGGTAGAAGAAGCTAGAAAAACCATCTGCCCCCTCGAGGGTCAGGTGGGTGCGTTTGCCTTGACAGCAGTGGGAGGGAACCTCCAACAGGGTATGAGCACCAGACAGGGAACATAGTGTTGGCTTTCGGGAGATTAGGTTTCCTGGGTGGTCCAGAAGACAGCGTTCCTTGGGCACGGGAGTGAGGTTTCATTTTCTGCTTGTTTGTATTCCTGGAAGGCAGTAAGCATCCAAATCCGTGTGTTGAGTGAATGAATGAATGAATGGGATCTCTATGGGGAGTGAGGTGGGAGGGGGTTGGTAAGCCAGGTGGTGATCAGGCCTGGCCCTGGGTGACAGAGCTGCTCTGGCCAGTGGGTTCCAGGAGGCACGGTCCACCAGGCCACCTTCTCGAGTCCCTTGGAGAGATGGAGAGGCTGGGCACTGAGCCTCACTCAGGGTGGCTTTGCAGGTCACGGATGGATCTGCCCGGCTCTCCCTCGCGCCAGGCCTGCTCCTCGCAGCCGGCCCAGATGCTGTCAGTGGACACAGGCCACCCCGACCGGCAGGCCAGCGGCCGCATGGACGTGTCGGCCTCCGTGGAACAGGAGGCCCTCAGCAACGCCTTCCGCTCTGTGCCACTGGCTGAGGAGGAGGACTTTGACAGCAAGGAGTGGGTCATCATTGACAAGGAGACGGAGCTCAAGGACTTCCCCCCAGGGGCCGAACCCAGCACATCGGGTACCACGGATGAGGAGCCTGAGGAGCTGCGGCCACTGCCTGAGGAGGGCGAGGAGCGGCGGCGGCCAGGGACAGAGCCAACCGTCAGGCCCCGGGGCCGAGGTGTGCATACCCTGGCTGAGGAGGACCTTCGGCAGACTCCATTCCAGTCCCCACCACCCCAGCTGAGCCAGGCGGAAGGCCGGTCAGAGACGTCGCAGCCTCCCACGCCCGGCAGCCCTTCCCACTCGCCACTGCACTCGGGACCCCGCCCTCGACGGAGAGAGTCGGATCCCACGGGCCCGCAGAGACAGGTAGGTTGGGCTTGCATCCCACTCCCCGACCCTGGATGCCCACGGTTTTTGCCTGGAGTGTTCCCTGTGGGCTACCCATGGGCTCCTTGGGGGCTGCTGACTAGCACCCACCAGTTGCAGGCTGTGATGAAGGTAGATAGGTTTAAGGGTCCAAAACCATGCTTGGGGTATGGTCAGAGCTTCCCAGAGGAAGTGCCTCCATGTTCTGAGTTGAGTCTTGCGTGATGAGCAGCCTCAGCCAGGTGACAAAGCAGGAGAAAGGCCTCTGGGGCCAAGGGGACTGTGTGTGCAAAGGCCCGGGGGCGGCAGTCAGAAAACACTGCCCTGATGGCATGTTGCAGAACAGGTGAGGCTGCGAAGCAGGTCCCCCAGTCATGGCCCAGAGGGCCTCAGGGTGAAGCTAAAGGGTTAGGGTTTGATTCTGAAAGCTCGGTGAGCCACCCAAGGCTTTTAAACAGAGGTGTGCCATGATCCCCTTAGTGCTCTTGAATGAGCCTTCTGGTTGCTGGGTGAAAACGGATGAAAGGGCCCAGAACTACAAGCAGGAAGTTCCACGGCAGGCGCCAGCAGGAGAGCGGCCTGGTGGCTTGGACCAGGGCTCTCGATGTGGGGCAGGGTGGATGGAACCAAGAGGTGTTGGGGAAAGAATTGAGGGGCTGTTAACGGGGTGGGGAGGGGTTCTTGGCTGGTGCGCAGAGTTCTGTGTGGACAGCAGTGCCATCACTGAGTGGTTTTGAAGGGAGCATGACTCCTCAGAGGGTCTAGGGAAAGCCAAGGAGGTGATGCTGGAGGGTTCCAGGGCTGTGCTGTGTTCCAGTCAATCACCCCATGTCAGGGCCCTGCGCCAGGTGGCTCTGGAAAGTGCCAGGGTTCAGGGCGAGGGTCAGATCAATCCACTGCATGCGCCGATTGGGAGGCCTGGCCTGAGAGCATGCGGGAGCCTGGGAGAAGGGCAGCCCCAGGCAGGGCTGTATTCAGGGCCCAGCCCCTTGTCTAGAAAAGAGGGCCTCCGAGCTGAGATCTTCGGGGGTGTGCATCCTCACCGTGCCGTGGACTCTGGGAATCTGGGGCTCAGAAAGTGGAAACTCTGGGCCCCCACCCAGAGTGCTCCTAGCCAACCTGAGTTGGAGGCTCAGGCAGGGCAGGGTGTGGGCCAGCATGACTGGGCTGGGGACCTTGTTCCCACCAGGGCCAGCACTGGAGAGGGAGCAAGATCTGTCTGGCTCCCCTCTCATTTTCTCCTGCTTTCATTCATCCATTCGAAAGTGATAGTCTTCCTGAGCACCTCGCCTATGCTGGGCACCAGAGGCATCAGAGGTCATATGCACGCACAGTAAGTTCAGAGTCGAGGAGGGGAGACTGACAGGGGTGGTGTAGGGTAGAGAGACAGTCCAGAATCAAAGTCAGGAGGCCGAGGCTCTGGACCCAGGCCCTCTGTTTGTCCCCTCCTAGTGATTGCAGGCCAGGTGGATCTCAGAGAGGGAGGTAAGCTATCTGGGAGGTTTTCCTCACCTTCCGATTCCTCCTGGGTGTGGGGAACAATCCTTGCATGGGGGGATCTGCAGCCAAGCAGGTAAGGGGAGAGAGTTGGGGACGTGGGCACGGGGCTCTTGTACAGTCTCAGTGTTGGGTTCAGGTCCTGCTGGTGCTGTGGGCCCGCCATGAGCTGTATGTGTCTGGAGGGCGTGTTCGGTGTTTGTGGGCCTCGGTTTCCCCACAGCGCACTGCAGCGAAGTTAGTTAGCCTTCTGCTGCTGTGATCACATGCACTTCCGTGTTCGTGTAGCTCAGGAGGGCACATGGCTGTGGGTCTGCGCACACAGCGGCGTGTCTATGCAGCATGCCCCAGGTCTGCAGGAGCACAGAGAACCCCGGAGGCCAGGCTGGGGATGGCAAAGCTTAAGGGCTGGGAACCATCAGAGCAGTAATTCCACTGACGGTAACCAGAGCTGCACTCTCTCAGTGCCTCCCTAGGGCACGTGTGTCTTCCTTCCAATAGTGACGTGATAAGGCAAACCCGCCCTTTAATAGATAAGGAAACCGAGGCTGGCAGGATGCTGGGTCACTGGGTGGTGGGTACGGGGCGGTGATGCGGGCAGAGGTAGAGCTGCGGTGAGTGCTGTCTGAGGCCTGTGTGTTTAGGAGAGGAGCAAACACAGGCCAGAGAGAGCCCGAGTGAAGGGTGGGGGTGGGGGGCCCTTGTCAGCAGGTGTGCCTTAGGCACAGCAGTGTGCGTGGCAGCCTGTGTGTGTGTGTGTGTGTGTGAGCACATGGGGGTGGTGGTGACATGGTTTACTGAGCATTTCCGTACAGCCCAGTACTGGAGAAGCAGAGACCTTCCTTGTCAAGGGCAGAGGAGGATGAGGGGTGGGGGTGGGGTGGGGACTGGCGCATTTGTTCCTTCTTTCTTTGGTCTGGAGGGAGTCCTGATCTCAGATCTCAGGCTACATGGGGGCTCCCAAGCTTGGCCGACCTTAGAATCACCGTTTGCGGACTCCCCACCCTGCCACCTTTCTGCAGGGACCCCCTCCTAGATCTTGCTCCCTCCGCCCAGTGTCTGATGTGTGAACTTCCTCATAACAGTGATCCTTAAAGATAAGAGCCCTTGCACTGCTGTTGTCCCCACCCCACCCCCTCCACCCCGCGCCCCCCCGACCAAGATAATGTGGAAGCAGGTATCTGTTGTTCTTTGGTGTGAATGCCATGATGCCTTCAACTTTTTCTTTACATGCACCTCAGCTTCTCCCCCAGGAAACTGAAGGTGCAGATTAGAAGGGGCTAGAGAGCTAGGCAGAGGGGAAGGCAGCGGACAGAGGGTGTGATTTAGGGTAGGGATGTTTGCCATCCTTTGCCGGCTGTCTCTGGCTGATAACACCGCAGGTCAGTGTTCTCTGAGCAGGTGGACATCCGCCTGGCAGCCACGAGAGCATTTCTCTGCCACGTGCCAGGCGGTGTGCTGGGGGCAGGGAGACACAGATGAACAAGGCTCCGCAGTCCTGCCCTTTTGGAGTTCATGGTCTAGAGAGGTGGGGTGAGGATGCCAAGGTGTGGACGTGAAGGTTTATCGGCAAGGGCCATAAGGTAGATAACAGAGAACGCTTCTTTGCTAGAATAGGGAGCCTGCCTGGGAAGCAGGGTGGTCTCTCGAAGGCGGTACTTCAGCTGGACATGGGGGGTGAGTGAAAGGGCAGGAGCATGCTGGGATCGAGCCCCCTGCCCCCCGCCCCAAGCTGACCAAACTCCTGCTGGGGTGTTAAGCTCAAGCCAGGCACGCTAGTATGCCTTTCTTTTGGACAGAGGGCCTTAGGCCCCTAATCCTCAGCGCAGCTGGGACCAGGATCCTATGCTTGGCTAAAAAGAAGGTGAAGGGAAAGCAGGGTGAGGACAGTGACAGTCCTTTCAGAATCTTCTCTCTCCTCCTTTCCATTTGGAGGTCTCACATTGGGCCCCTCTGCCCCCATTTGACATCCACACTGAGTGTTCTGGGGCCCCTCCTCTTCAGCTCTCTGGCAGCTGGCCCAAGCCATCCTCAGCACCCCCCCCCCCCCCCGCCCCGCAAAAGCTATTTATACTGGCTTCAGTTACAGGAAGAGCTGGGGTCAGGGTGGGACAGTTCTGGTGACACCCAAGCCACCATTTCCATCTCCACAGGCCTGAAACACACAGGTCCGCTTTCCATTTTCCCTCTGAGGGTAGGAGGGCAGAAGGACAGAGACAGGATTCTTCCTGATGTCTGTGTTGTGGCCAAGGCCCTCCCAGCAGCTGCCTTATGGCTGGGCTGGGAGAGAACAGAGAAAAAGCCACTTTGGAGAAATGGTTTCAGTCTGCTCCTCCCTCTCACTCTCTCTATTCCTCTCCTCATTCTTTTTTTTTTTTTTTTTAAAGATTTTATTTGACACAGAGAGATGACAAGTAGGCAGAGAGGCAGGCAGAGAGAAGGGGGAAGCAGGCTCCCCGCTGAGCAGAGAGCCCGATGTGGGGCTCGATCCCAGGACCCTGAGATCCTGACGGGAGCTGAAGGCAGAGGCTTAACCCACTGAGCCACCCGGGCGCCCATCCTCTCCTCATTCTTAAGAGTGACGTAAAGGATAATCAGACAGCTCACACGACACAGCATTTACGCCAGGGCAATCCTAAGTGCTGTGCCTGTCATAACATCTAATCCTTACAACAAGCCTATAAGCTGGGAAACATGGTCAGCCCCATTTTACAGATGAGGAAGCTGAGGCATGAGAAGTGACTTGCTTGTGTTCACGAGGTAGTAAGTGGTGGAGCTGGGGTGCAAACATGAGTAGCTGGACTCCAGAGTCTTACCCGTCTGCTACATTTTGCTGTGGAGTCCTTGCCATCCCCCCCACCCACAGCCTGTGATGGGGCATAGGGCGTGCAAGGAATGTTCTCCCGGCCTCCTAAGGAGTCAGGAAAACAGCTGAGGAGACAGATGGCAGGTAGCAGTTGCAGAAGGGTCTTCCTATGGGGGAGGATTCCTCAGCTCAGAGGGAACTCTGAACTAGGAAGGGCTAAGTCAGGAAGGCTGCCCGGGGGAGGCGAGTGACCAAGGTCTCTGCAAGGAGACCACGGTGTGAGGAGTGCCAAAAAGGAGGAAGACTGGGAAGGGATTTGGCGGCCAGAGTCTAGGTGCTGGGGCAGAATGGGGCGGCGTGCACGCCCTCCGCCTGCCCAACACTGCCCCCTGCCCGGGACGCCAGCGCCGCAGGGGCTGTGAGCGGTGGGCGGTCCCCCGAGACGGAGCTGTCGAGTCTGTGCCTGACACCTCTTTTCCCTCCACTCTCTTGGTCTCTTTCAGTTGGAGGAGGACAGACTCTCGGGGCACTCCCTCCCGCGGTACAGCCCTCTGCGACGACTGGCGTCCTCCGTGTTCTCCTCCTCCACGCTGGAGACCGAGCATTACCCTCACCCTGGCGGCGGCGGCTCCTCCGGTTCCCTCATTCAGCGCAGCCGCTCGGCGGAGAGCAGCCCCGTGCGGGCGCCCCACCGGCG